TAGAAGCAGGAATGGTTTCAGAACAGTTAGGAACAGGAAAGAAAGAACGGTCAAAGAGGAACGCACCTGAATAGAAAAGATGAAAGAAGCTAATGCAAGCAGGCCTCGCGCTCGAACTCTCTCAATTGTGCGATCGGAATATCTTCCTGTAGGCCCAAGTTGCGGGAAACAGCCAGCTTCTGAGAAAGTTTGTCGCGGATGTAGAGGCCCATGGCGGTGTCGGAACGCCAGCGCCCGTGGCGCTTGATCAGACGGTCAGAAACCTCGTTCGTGGCCGCGCCCGTCGCGCCCCCGCGGCGGCCCGAGTGGGTACCGTACAACTTAGGATCCAGCCCGAGTAAGCTAGCAGCTTCTTTGAACCAACTCAAAACAGTGTTGTAGCAAGGGGGGTTGTCCTTAAGGCGATGGACGGGGACGCAAGGAAGGGTGGCGCGAATGAGAGAACCGGGGCCCGACGAGTGGTAACGGCCGACACTAAGGAGGCGCTGGATCAAAGCTACCGGGCAATAGGGACCACCAAGACGGGCGACGAAGACTGTGTCGCCAGTGCGATACTGATCCGTTTTGCTATCGGGAATGAAGATTTCCATGTGGGAAGAGCCTACGAATTTGACGTGCTGCCACTGGATCGCAACGAGGTCGTCATAACGGAAGAGAGAAACGTAGCAGAGAGTGACGGAAGCAAGTTTCATCAGCTGGTACAGCGAAGCGGACGGGGAGCCCCAAAGGTCGAAAAGGCGACGAATCTGAGACGCTAGAAAGGGGCGCTTCTGGTTAAGCCCGGCGATCTTGATACGGCGTGCTGCCTCGCGCGCCATCCGAACCAGGGGATGATTAGTAGGAGAAGGGAGGCCAGCAGAGGTGTGGTTAAAATAGACAGCACCGGAGAAAGTCTTAAGGGGGGCAGGGGTGTTGGCGGTTCTAAGAAGTTTCATCATGTAAAGGGCTACTTGGAGGGGATTGGAGGGCAGTGCTGAGACTCCTTTTTTCTGACACCAGTCCTTGTAGCGACGCCAAGGCCCCGCGTACAGGCGATAAGTCCCCGGGGCGCGGCCCACGAGAGAGGCGTCGTGAAGATCGACTGACAGGGCAGCTAGTTCGGGATCGAAAGACTGGAGACCCGCCGCGTCCAAGTCCCAACTTTCGAAGTTAAACCAGTCTGCGAAAGATAGAGAAAGAAAGAATCAGAACCGAAATAGGACGGAGAGGGAGAAGCGTACCTAAGACGTGAAGTCGCAGTCGAGGACGAAGACGTCAGAATCCGGAACACCCGTGCCCGACCACCGATCGCGCGACGCACAGCCCGGGACCAGCGCTCCGCGAGCGGACGGAAAGAAAAGCTGCCCCCGAACGAACGGCGCAAAACCGCGTCCCGACGCGACGCTACCGCACAGCAGGGGCCACCACGGGGCAGAACGCCAGCCGAGAACGACGAGAGTTACACGAGCGCGACACGCGCGCGCGTGCCGGATGGTAGCAGCAACTAGAGTGGGAGGCGGGAAGCAGTAGTTGCGTGCTGGGGGGCCCCAATCTTGAGTAAACGCATTGGCTGCTGCTGGTCCCGGACACCAGTAGAAAGAATTGAAGCAGGGAAGCTTTTTGTTATGTTCGCTGGCGAAGCGGTCGACTGTGAACGGGCCGAAGAGCTGAGAGACGGAAGAGAAGGTCTCGGGAGACAGTCCAAAATCGTCTACATCGCGTATCTTGCTCAGGTAGTCCGCGCGCGCGTTCTGCTCTCGAGGAAGCCATTCAGGGCGAAGCTCAATGCGGTTTTCAGAGCAGAAACCGAAAAGCTCCAAACAAATGGACTGGAGGTGGTCTTTGGCGGAGCCCCCTTTGGAGAGAATGGAGAAAACGTTCAGAGCATCGCCTCGAGCGATGACACTGCAGTCCGACAGGAGAGGTTTGAACGCACGAAGCAGACGGAGCAGGCCACTTAATTCGCGCCACGTGGAAGAAGTGATCCCGTGAACTTCGTGGGGTTCCCAAGGACCGTGAGCTTCGTGTTTGGCGGAACCGATCTCCAGATGACCTCCCCAGCCGTTGCCCCCAGCGTCATAGTAGAGAACCCGCAGGAGAGAATGCTTACGCCAGATGTCGCGGCTATGAAAAAGAGAAAGACGGGATTGCCAAAACTGGAGCTCGCTTAACGCTGCGCTGTCCAAACTGACTTTGCTATACCAGGAAGAACGGGAGTTAAGAGCCCGATGGAGGAAGCGGGAAAAAAGCCCAGAGATCGGGCCCGTAACGAGGGAGAGGGATTGAATGAGGCCGGTAACGCGAGCGACTGTTTTTGCGGGGACAGCGCGAGGAGAGCGAAGGCAAGACTGGATTGCTGAGCTGAGCTTTGCTTTCTGGATTGCGGTAAGACGAAACTGACCGAAAAGCGTGTCTACCACGAATCCGAGAAACTTGACAACGTGAGAAGAGGACAGCTGGCACTTATCAAGTGACACAACTAGACCGGCGGCAGCGAGGTCGGCGAGGACGGAGGCTTGGACACGAGCAAACTCCACAGAATCGCGACAGGCAAAGAAGAAGTCGTCAATATAATGGACCAGCCTGTAGCCCCGCTCGCGCCAGGACTTCGTGAGTTGGCGCATCACCATGGTAAAAACGTAGCACGCCGGCGCAAGTCCGAAGGGAAGCTGCGTGAACACGTAGAACTGGCCCTGCCACTGGAAGCCAAGGTACTTCCAGTGGGGTTCGTAGATGTCAATGTGATGGTAGCCTGCTTTCAGATCGATTGTGAAGAGAAAGTCCAGAGGCTGGCAGAGATCGGAAATCATACGGATTGATTCGTACTTGAATTTGGTGATCTTCAGGAACTGGTTCAGGAAGCGGAGATCGAGTATGAGCCGCAGTTTGTCCTCAGCTTTGGGGACGACGCCTAAGGGGCTGACGAGGAAAGGTTGTTCTGAGACTGGCATGATTGTCCCCGTGACTTTGAGAGTACGAACCGCCTCGGAGACGAAGTCAGAGTGCTCGAAAGCTGAGGGATGGTTGCGGAACAGCTGGGGCTCGAGGGGGGGACTGGAGATCCAAGGCAGTTTGTAGCCAGTAAGAAGAATTGACATAACGAAGCTAGAGGTAACAAAAGCCCGCCAAAACTGGACGTGTCGACGAAGACGGTGGCGCAGCCAGGGTTCGGGGGCCTTAGATGAAGACTTCGCAGCAGCAGCCTTTGGAGGGTCCTTAAAGCCTTCGAACTCCGCAGCATCTGTAAGGTCTGCGAGTTTGTGAAGAGATTCGCCCGTGGCTGCGAAAATAGAAACAACGAGAACATAAGTAAAACAAGAAGCGGGCGAGAGCGAGAACGAGAAGAAAGAAAAATTGTCTGTCGAGAACGAGAACGAGAAGCGAAAATAATACTGAACAAGAAATAAAAAATAAAAAATAATAATAATAATAAAATAAACGAAACAAATGAAAAACGTGGCATCAGCCAGAAGCGTAGTCATTCCCTGAAGTTCCTCAGGGAAAATCTGGCAGCATCCTTGCCAGCAGAATGCAAGGAATCGTAAGAGGAAGTCAGACGGTCCCCGAGGCTGACGTAAAAGGGGGAGGTCGGCAAGTATCACCGTCCCCGAAGGATTGGCCTATCCGGAGAAGCAGGACCAAGCTGGTGTGGTAAATCTGAAAGGAGAAAAAGATGTAGAGAAACAACAAAGTTATGGCTCACAACAACTCGTACAGCAATGGAAGCTAGTCTCCCAGTCTGTATGATCAGTGCCACGAAAGATTCTACTGCAAGGAGAAAACGAAGATGTTAAGGATGGGAAAAGAGAGAGGTACAGAGTCGCACACAGGCTGTAAATAACATGGCATATAGTTTAGAAGAATTGTTTGTTAATTAGAAGGAAAGAGAAAGCTAAGAGCGGGAAACATTTTACAAAGGGATCAGAAGATGGAACAGAATCGTGTGTATGAAACGAAAACAAGGACGAGAGAGAGAGAAACGAGAACGAGAGTGAGACCAAACGAAAAGAAAGAAAGGAAAATGAAATGGAGCCAGACAGGTAAAGAAGTGGAAGGAGAAATAAAAGACAGAAAACCGAAGAAGTGAAATAACTCCAGAGATCCAGAGCGGACAAGGACTAGTGAAACCAAGTAAAAGGAAGAAAGACTGAGCATAGATCAGAGAAAACGATAGTAGCAGAAGAAAGAAGAAAAAGAAGAACTATAGAGAAAAAGAGTGGGAGTAAGACACTGCTGAAATCACGCCACAAAGAGATGCATAGATAAGATAGATGCAAGCGAACCATTATCATGGTAAACAGTTATGTTAGGATCACTTGCTAGAAAGAGTACACCAAGAAGGTTTCGCAGATATCCAATAGTTGTAGCTACAGGGGTACAAGAGAAGTGAACAGAAGTCACCTAAGAGTGAAACCAATGTCTACAACAAACTATCGTTATCGACCAAATCTTCTATTTGCAGAAACCATTACTGCCAAAGTCCTGGAGTGTACCAGATGTCCTGTGCAAATTGTCTTGCCTACTCCATCCTGAAACTGAATTCTGCCAGAAACTGAATTCTGCTAGATGCTGGATGCTACGAGTAACCGCGACCAGCATTCGCTGCGGAGCTGGCTGCGAAGGGGCAGGAACCTTGGACATGTCCGATTTGACCACACGACCAGCACTGAAGGCTTGAGCTGCGGCTGCTAGAAATGTTGGCCAAGGAAGGGCGAGGGGCATGAGGAACAGCAGGGGGAGGAAGGGCTAAGCCAGGAGCAGGGGAAGGGGAACGGTTGGTAATGGGGGGAGGCAGGTACTGGCTCTGGTAGATCGGAGAAGGAACAGGATTGGGGAGGGGAGCTGGCATGGGGGAGGGAACGAGAATTGGCTGAGGAGGGTGAAACCAACCAGGTTGGGGGGAAGGGGAACGGTTGCGGTTAAAGAAGCTGCTGCGTCCAGGGTTCTGTGGGAAGGCTGACTTTTGCTCCTTGGCAGGTTTCGCGAGTTCTTCTGAGGCTTTGCGTTTCTCCGCCAGGGATTTCTTTGCACGGGTTGCCAGGCTGACTTCAGCAGGATCCTTGGACGCCTCCTCACGCAAAAGGACCATTTCGGATGCAACCTCCAAGCCCTCAGAATCCCAGTCCATCAAAAACTGAATGCCACCAGCCAAAGCGAGCTCACCTTCGTCACACTGGCCCCTGAGGTTCTCGATCTGGTCCTCAGACAGATGAGCCAGCGGCGAAGTACCGTCCAGATGAGCTTCGAAGGTCTGCTTCGTCTGAGAGAGTGCTTCCTGAGCCTTTTCCATCGGTTGCATGATCCTCTTGACCTCGGGGTTAGAGACACGATCTGACTTCTTTGGAGCAGACTTCGCGAGCAGCTGTGCTTGGAGGGAGTCAATCTTCTCCGATTGCTTCGCGAGAGTGGCCTCTTGTGCAGATGCATGTGCTGAGAACTGATTGGTCATCTGCTTGAACATGGCTTCTGTACGAAGAGTTGCTTCGCGAGCCTCCTGAGCAATCCGTTCCGCAGCGCTGAGATCTGCATTCTGACTAGGATTCTGCGAGGTCCCCTCAGGACCTGCCATGCTGAGAGATGCAGAAGGACGTTCGCAGAGAAATGAAGCGAGAAACAAGACGAAAGCTGCTGGAAAAAACTTCTAATCGTGCATGGCTGCTAGGGTTGACGGAGGAAGCAAGCTCTAATGACGGGAGAGGACAATGCACGAAGAATAAGAAGGAGAGAGGGAGAGAAGGAAAGAAGAAGACGAAGAAGGTACAGCAAGGAGGCGCCGCCCTCCTTGCGCTGTGACTTGAGTTGCAGAGCGACAGATTGAAGAAGCTGTCGCGATGACGCGGCTTTAAGAAGCCGCGGTCAGGGTTAGGTTAGTGCTTGTTTAGCAGAAAACCTCGGTTTTCGACTCACTACGATCGTCGAAAACTATCAATTTTGGCCGCCGGACCAGGCAGACCGACCGACCGCCGGACCGCTGTATCAGGTTCTGGCTGTCGGACCAGGCAGACCGACCGACCGCCAGACCATATGTCATGCTGTGCAACCCTGGCCGGACCGGTCCAGCGGTCGGTCGGTCCGACAGAATTTCACCCGGGCCCGCCCAACCCAAGCTGTCCACCGGTACTGTAGTATACTGGTATACAGACGGTCGTCCGGACCAGCCAGACCGACCGAGCGTTGGACCGGGGTAAAAGCATAGGGTTCAAGGTCCCTAACCCCAATACGTCCCGCCAAGGCCATACCCTACCCACCCTAACCGCCCAGCTAACCCCACCAAGGTCACTGGGAGGCTTACGACAAACCAAAAACCTAAGGGATAGTGACAAACCCTAACCCTAATTCGTCCCGCCAAGGGCTCACCCGTACCCACCCTAAACCCCCCGCTAACCCCACCAAAGTCACCCGGACGGTCGGTCGGTCGGTCTGTGACCTCCCCCGGAGTCCAGCCAATGCCGAAAATCACCGATATAGTATGAATTAAATACACGATTAATTCAGAAAATCCCTGAAGTTCCGCCGCCGGATCAAAAGCACCGGAATAGGAGACCGGAGCTTAAAATCTCCCTTGTGGACCCAGATTAGCGGGCCCCTGGAAAAAACCAGGCTTGAGGCCTGGGACTCCCCTAGTCCGTACACGGCAATGAAAATCAAAAGCTGGTATTCCAAGGAAAGCGGCCAGTTCGATCCGCTGCAGGCTGTCCTCTGAGCCGGCGTTCCAGTGGGTCGTGCATGAGTTGGATCCTGCATCAATCTCGTCAAACCAGATGTACGGAGTTACTCAGGGAAGGCTGATGTCAGGCTCGAAATACACGTGCACATGCATGTACTGTGGCCCGGCCTGTGCAGCTTGTGCAAGCAATCTTCCGCGCTACAGTCTTCAACCTTTCGCAGCGTCTCGATCGCGTTCGTCATTCCAGATCACGAGCGGCAATGATGTTACGGTCCTGGCTTTCCAGATAGAAGCGCCAGGGTTTCTGCCAGTTTGACGTTGACGCCGCTCATTGCCCAGCTTTTGAAGCATCCGAATAATCATGGTTGTTGAGTCGTGACCATTATTTGAGCAGCGAGCCAATCTGGACATACCGTCGCAGTGCCGCAGGGAGGTGATACAAGTCCGTGATTCTCATGTAGACTGAACTTCACATGACAGCCCAGCTTCCCACCGCTCTCTGAAGCGTACTTTCAGCCTCTCGAAGGTTGGAAACTGCTAGGTTTTGGTCGGCCGCTGTGGGCATCCAGAAGGGTGAGTCTTCAGTAGTTGGTCGCTTTCGGACACGTGCTTAGTCAGCAGTCGCTGCTTCGCTGAAGTGGTCAAGCAATGAGAGAACGTTTCTCGCTTCTCGCTAGAGAGACCATTTGTGAACAAAAGTACCCTGATGCTGTTTTAGCCGTCCCTGCTTTTCTTCTGCGATCATGCATGTGCAACTCAAAGACTCGTCTGGTATGGACTCGTGCACGATCATCAGGGTTTGCAACTGTTTTGGGTTGGGTACAAAACGCGCGGCTCTCCGTGATGTCGCCCGAAAGGAAGTTTGTCTAAAACTCCTGACCCGGTTAACCGTTTCAAATCAACTTGAAGAGCAGTGAATTCGATCTTCCGCTGGATCAATTGAAAGCTTTTCAGAAACCACTTGCAGCCTTCCATAACATATGGCGCGAACGTTTGCCTTTTCAAATGGTTTGTCAAACACTTTCCCGGTTGTAAACAATCTATCAAGAGGATCATACATAGACGTTCGCCGGTTTATATCGTCTTGCTCTTCGTTCCTCGAGTTGGGTGCGGCGGAGATCATCTATGTGTCGACGTCCGGTTGTGAAACATCAAGTCAGCGTCACAAGCTGAGCTGCCTCTTACTCAAAATTGGCGCGCCTCCGAGGTGTATACCCTCTTGACCGTATAACAGTATAATTTTGCTGTTCGTCAACCCGTGCGAAATTTTGGAAGGATCGCGCACGTTGAGGTTTCTCTGTTACGTTTGCACCTGATCTCCTTGTTGTGGCGCCAAAGCAATTGTGGACTTGAGGCACCATGACTCCAGCCGGGAGCGAATGGCAGTCCTGCCGTTCATTATATATAGGGGCAATCGGGCGAATATCCATAGCGTGATCATTGCAGGCCCAATGCCACAGCGCCCTCCTACCCTTCTAACTGCAGAAAGAGAGTTGTTGTCGTATGTGAATCATTGAATTCTTCTGTATTCCAATTCCATCAGGGAGTCCTCTTTGCGTACGGATGGATTGTGGGCTCAACGAGTCAACTAGTAAGCATTAGCGCAGCCAAGAGCGACTGGCACTCCGGCCGCCTTCAGAACGGGGTCAGAAATGTGCGAGGCTCGATCATCATTGCTGAGATGCTGCAGGCCTACCACGTCGGCTTTACAAGTCGGGCTTTGCATTCGCTCAAGATCAAGCTCCACCCAAACGTATCGGTTGGACGTAGCAGGCCAATGGCCTTCTTTCGTGGATTCGGTACTGTGATGCGTTTGCACTTGCAATCAGGATGAATCGTAGGCAATGTGCAAGGCGCCTAGTAGAAAGACGCGTCTAGCAGCGGTTGATGTTGATACTTTGCGACCCCGCAGATACAAGCTTTCTTCTACTTGTGCTCCGTTTAGTTTCTTCATACTTTCTAGAAATTTCTTGTTATGGGCGGCCAGTATGTAGGCTGTTTGGCGATACAGTGCCCGGTATATAGCGCCAATGCTCCAACAACAATCTTTATGAGCGGCCGGGTTGGCATCTTCCCAGAAACCGACCCGCCAAACCAGCGTTGGAAATTGGCACTGCAAGGGAAAGAAGCCACATATCGTGTTCAATCATTTAGTTCCTAACTTGTGTTGGGCACGCACCGCTTCTTCTCGACCCGTTAAAACGACGGTTTTGCATCGGTATCCTGCAAACATTTCATATTGAAGTGAAATTTCCTGAGTCCGTACACGTCGGCAAGGAACGAGAATGACTGGTAATGAAAAAGAAAGCACCAGAGACTTTCATCGAGTAAGTTCAGCTTTTGAGCCCGCTTGAAGGAGGGCGGTGCCTCCACTTGCCTTGTTGCAACGCCCTTTCTTCATTTTCGCCTACGAGCGGCAATGATCGGACGTTCTGCTCCTTGCTTCCGGTCGTTGTACGGAACGCCAGTACGAATCCCTCTGTTGAGTCGACTTTGATGCCCCTCATTAAGGCTTACTTCCGTTCGCGTTCAAGGGTTTGTCGACTCTATGACCACGCTTGAGCAGCAGTGACATCTCAACAAACCGTGGGCCACGGAGTCGATACACGCCCGTGCTTGCCAAACTGGACCTTAACATTAAGGCAGTGCTTCTCGGCGCTTTCCAAGACCTAGCTCCATGGCACTCTGGGATGGAAAGCTGCCAGGCCCTGGTCGTGACGTGTTGTGGGCACCGAAATCGGTTGTGGGCTTGGTCGCTTTCGGGCCTGTTTTTCGCCAGCTTTGATCAAGTAGTCAAGCACTGATGGGAATGTTCTGGCTTCTTGAGACAGAGGCCATTAATGCTCGTGGAATCCTGACGCTGTTTACGCACTTGCCTCGGCCTCCCAAGGGTATGCATATGCACCTCGATTGGAGTAAGGAGTCAGAAGCAGCAGGATTGAAACTGGTCTGGCTTGAGTGAAAAGGAGCCTTGACCTCACAACCCCAATACGCGATACGTGGGTTGTGTCTAGAACGCCAATGCAAATACAGCATGATGCAGACACGTGAAGAATTCGGAGTGGATCACCAGCTGGAGTGTACGTTCGAAGAACGCTTGCGGTTTACTGGAAGTTTCGCGACCAATTCGACCTCAGTAGATCCAGATGCGTTGCGCGTTTTCCTCACTTTGCACGCTCCCCCGAGTCAAATGAGATTTCTTTGAGTGCTTCTTGTCTTGGTTTCTTGGTGCCCACAATATGCTGTGCGAGGAAAGGACGTAAATTTTCCTGGCTGTGACAAAAAGTCAACAAGACTTTCCAACACTAACATGAGCTGCCTCCTGCGTGCAATTGACCTCCCGTCTTACCGTTGCAGAGAACCAAGCTATTGCTGTCTGTTGAATGCTTTGATTTTCCTAAGCGTTGCGCTCGTTGAAAGTATCTTTATTCATCCTTATTCTTTCGTCATGCGGAAGGAGGGGACTTGAAATGATGAGCATTGCCGCAGCCGGGAACCTTTCGCAGTCTGGCCATCTCAGAACGGGGCCAAAGCAACGTCCTCGTCATTACCGTGATGCTGCAAGCCTGCTACATCCGATTCATGTATCTTGCACCCTCACAAGCTCTATTAATGTATTGTCTCGAAGACACTCAATGAGCATAGCAGGCTCCATTTTCGTGCCTAACGCCGGTGCATTTGGTACTTCGCTGCGGCTTCATTTCCAATGAGGAGGATTCGTGGGCACTAAAGGCGCCAGCTGTCGACACTTGAACGTGTCGCGGCGGTTGCTGTCGACCCTTTGCAACCCCTCAAAAATACATAAAGCGTCCTCCGGCTGTTCTCCTCTTTTTAAAATTCAAGGGGTTTCTCGTCTTGGGCGGCCAGTAAGGAAGCTGTTTGGCGCTGCACTGCAGGTTGTG